TTGTTCAGCCTGGAGAACTGGGATTGTTCATCCTGGAGAACTGGGATTGTTCAGCCTGGAGGAGAGAAGCTTTGGGGTGACCTGATTGCAGCAGGACCTGAAGAGGCCTGCAAGGAAGATGGAGACAGACTGTTTCCAAGGGCCTGGAGTACCAGGACAAGGGGGAATGGCATCCCACTGCCTGAGGGCAGGGATAGATGGGATGTTGGGGAGGAATTCTTGGTTGCAATTCTGGCACAGGTTGCCCAGAGAAGCTGTGGCTGCCCCTGGATCCTTGGAAGTGTCCAAGGTGAGGTTGGAGCAACCTGGGCTAGTGGGAGGTGTCCCTGCCCATGGCAGGGGTGGAATGAGGTGACCTTTAGGGCCCTTCCAGCCCAGGCCATTCCATGATTGTGATGTACCCACACCCTGGAGCGGTTCCTCCCCCCTCCTTGAGCCCAGCTGTAAGAACTGAGCCCCTGTGCCCTCGTGCCTGGCAAGCAGAGCCCAGGTGGATGCCAGCCAGCAGAGGGTTGTGCTCAGGACCACGTCGGAACACGCCGAATTCCCCTTCCCTCGGGAAAAAAGGAGCCAGGCCTCACGTAGTACCAGGATAAACAATACCACAGGCAACACTTTAGAGAAAAAAAAGGCCCTGAGACCACAGTGCTGAATTCACAATGATCTGCTTTGTCCCCTTTTGGATGGAGAACATTAAACAGCTCTACGTGTGCACACAATTACACAACACATGGCACAGCCCGAAATGGGGCTGCAGGTGTTTTCTGAGAAGAATTAACCTTCAAAAAAGTCACTTTAATCAACTTAAGAACGCACAAGACGTTCATGGGTCTTGAGAAATCCATGGAAAGGTCCTGTACCTTCAATTAACTCCCTCCAGCCTGCCTAGATTGCTGCTGCATGTGCTCCATCACACTGGGGCATGTGGATGGATTCATTAAGGACAATTAAGCAAAACGCAGCTAACTAAGGGGGAGAGAGGAGGAAGATGAAGTAACCAGTTTTTGGTCCTACATTTCAAAGAAAAAGGAAGGAAAGAAGGAAGCCACAGGCTTGTAACACCATATTTGTCCATGATCTCTGAGGCAAAAAGTGCTGCAGGGATGCAGAATGTTTGTAATGAGGTTTCATTAGTCAGACTCGGCTGACAGTCTGTAACCTGATTAAAGCCACACCAAAAATAACTCAGCTGCTGCTCACTGAGTGAGTTTCAATCACCTTTTGGGGGAAAACATTTTCCTTTATATTTACTTTCCATTAAACCCCGGCAGTACAAAGGTAGCCAAGTGCTGCAGATAAGCAGAGGAGCAGGTAACTCACAGCTAGAAGGGAAGGAACTTTTCCAGACATCCAGGTCTAAAGCAGCCATTGGATCATATCCTTCAACAGAACCCCAGAATGTAAAATACTGAAGGCTGCCAGTTGAGGAAAAGAAGGATAATTCACTTTGGGGATGTGTGAGACAACAGAGGCAAGCACAAGGAAAAGCTTTATGTAAAGAGGAGGTTTTCAAAAGGCATTGAGATTATCCAAGAGCTGGTCCAAGGGCCCTGGAAGGCAATGGAAAGTCTCCTGTTGACTCCAGTGGGTTTTGGAAGTGGAGGGGAAGGGATGGGGCTGGCAGGGAGAGGCAGGTTGTGGGAAGGCTGGAATGCAGCTGGGAATAGGTGGAGGAAGCAAAGGGGAACAAAGGAACACGGAGGCAAAGCCGTGTGGGTTGGTTTGGATTCCCAAGAAAAACAACCTGCAGGCTGGCTGGGGCTGGAGCCTGGGAAAGGGAAATGCAGGGGAGCAGAAGGCAGGTGGCTGTGGAGTGAAGCAAGAGCCCCATGGCTGGGCTGTGACACACCACAGTCTGTCCCCAAACTTGCCCCCAGAGGAAGAGGATGTGGCCACGGGGCTGGGGCAGAGCTGCTGAGCTGTTTGCTGAGCCTGGCCTGGGCTCAGGGGGGGCAGCAGGAGGGAACAAACAGAGACATGGGACAGAATAAAATCATCTCTCTGAACTGCCCAGCCCTGCAGGGCTCACAGGGGTGTCCTTCGGGTCATGGCTGAACATGGACCTAGTGAAGTGCAGGGGAAAGGACACCCACCCTGGGAAACAGTCCTGAAAATCCCTGTCAGGTGCTTTAGTGCCTTTGCAAACCTGGTTCAAAGTGAACTCCGGGACAAGGCAGAAGCAGAGAAGGGCTTTGAACCCTGATTTTTCCTGAGCTCTGTCCGGTGCTTCACATCCAACCATGACTTGACTTCTGGCGCTCAGTTCAATCTCACACAGGCAGGATTTGTGCAGACCCTCAGTGCAAGGAGGAATTTCACCCTTTTCTGCTTCCTTCTTTTGATTAAGCAGAGAGCACTCAGCTTAAAAACACCAATATTATGGTTATTAATTGTTGAGACAAACTTGTTGTCCAGTTTTACCCCCCATGAGCATGAAAACTGCTCCCTTGGACTCGGCACAATTGTTTGGGGGTTTCAGAAAGTTCAAAGCAGCTTTTCTGCCATCTGAGGCCTCCCAGACTGTCTGACCAGCTCCAGGGGAAGAAGCTGCAATCAGATTATTACAGAATCACTGAAGCAAGGGCAGGAACATCAAATGCTTCTCAAGTCACAAAAGGAAATTACATCCAATTCCCTTTCAAGTCTACCCAAGACCACATCACATCACATTCCCTCCCTCCTGCCAGCTCTTTGTCGGGATGTTGTGTCTATTCACAGAGTGACTCTCCCTCCTCTCCTGCTCAAAAGCACAAGTTTCTTCAGAGCATTAGCTGAGGAGATTGGGAGGGGGTCAGCTCATAATTTTCAAGTGTGTCATGCGGAGAGAACGAGCCGAGATAAATGTTTGGAGAGCGGCCACTCGTTTGGAAAACCAAGTTGCTCGTAGTTATTTTTCTTAATTAAGGCAAAGATGCGGTCCAAGAATGAGCCCAGCTCGTTTCCATTCATAGAACATTTCAGACACTGAATTGTCCACCTTTTGGCCTGAGCTTTCTCCTGACACAGCTGAAAAGACACCGACCCAAATTCAATGCCAGCGGCTCCTCTGGGATTCGGAGCAGCTCCAAGGAGCACCTTGGCAGGGGGATGTCCAAACCTTCCCCAGTTCTTTGCCTGGAGGCCTCTTTCATAACCTGGGATGATGACACAGGCTGGGGGGAGGGATGTGTCTGTCTCCAAGCCACCCTGTCCCAAAGAAGCTGCTCCCAACAAGGATTCCTGTCCCAGGAGTCTCAGGTTGCTCCCCAGGAGGAGACAGAAGGTCCTTCCAGAAGTCGGAGCAGGGATCAAACTGGAACTGGGGTTGTTCCAACAGCAGGTGGGAATCAGGGCCAGGAGGGGCAGGACGAGGGGGAAAGGCTGCAAACAGAGAGGGGAGGGTTAGATGGGACACAGGGAGGGGATTCTTCCCTGGGAGGGTGGTGAGGGGTTGGGATGGAATTCCCAGAGAAGCTGTGGCTGCCCCTGGATCCCTGGAAGTGTCCAAGGCCAGGGTGGAGCAACCTGGGCTGGTGGAAGGTGTCGCTGCTCATGGCAGGGGGTTGGGAATGGGATGAGCTTTAAGGTCCCTCCCATCCCAAACCATTCCAGGATTCCAAGCCTGGTTTTGCCCCAAGTTGTGACAGTGCTCCCTGAGCTCCTGGTTCCCTCCTGCAGCACAGAAGAGCTTTGAGGGCACTCTCAGGGCCCTTTTCCTCTCCCTGCCACTAAATCCCCCTCCAGGGGCTCTCAGACACTTGCAGAGACTCTCCTGCCTCTGCTCACCAGCATTTTACACCCATTTGAAACCCACTTGGCCTCACTGTAAATGTCTAAACAAAATCCAGGCACACAGACTTAGAATCCACAGTGCCAGTTCTACACCTAAGTTGGTTCCTGCAATCAGCACCGAACAGAAATTGTCATTAATTAGCACATTCTACCCTTAATAAAAGCTCAGAGCCCACCTGTTTGCAGCTCCCAGTCTGCCCCAGAATGTCTGGAGCTGCAGCAAAACCCGAGGGGAAAGTCTGAATTAAGAATGTCCCAAAAATCAGAGCTTTTCAACACATACCCGAGAAATAACTATTTAATAGCACTTCTATTAGAGGTGTGAACTTATGTTAGTTATGGCAGGAAAATTCTCCTGTAGATATAGTTCTCCTGTAGATTTATATGGATATATTTACACATTTATAAATGAACATAATAAATGAATATATATATAAAATATACTGAATATATTAATATATATGAATATTTATATATATAAATATATAAGATGAATAGATATAATATACTGGATATATGAATATATATATAAATATAAATTTATATCCAGCACAGTTTTAGTTCCATGTGCTCTGTAACACTTATTTGAGCCTATAAAAATTTTTAGCTTCTATAAAGCAGCTCTATATTCACACCTGTGGCCTTGAGCAGCTTTATTACCACTTTATTACAGCTGACTAAGCCAATGTTCTCCTTTCTTGGCAGAGATTTTTTTTTTTTAATATTATTTGCCAGCCATCACCTGATTGCTCACTGCTCTGCCTCCTTTATTCAGCCCTTATCACATCAACCTCAAGCAAACATTACTAAGAGGGATTAAAGGGGCAGCAAAGGCTCTGCTCAGTGTTTGGGTTGGGGAGATGAGTCACACATACAATAAATTGGGAATTACCAAGAGTTGAAGCCCGGCCCTGTGTTCCTTTTTCACCCCAAAACTGTCCCATTCCTCGAGCCACCGCTGGCACCCACTGGTTTTATTTGAGTTAAATTATAAACACATCAAATCAGGACCACCCAACCAAGTCCATAATTCAATGCCTGCTCCAGTTCTGTGTTTATTTGTGGACAGATCTGATTTCCTTGGAGGAAATCCCACTCTGAGGGACCTGACCCGGGAGCCATCGATCCATATCCCAACCCGTGGGCCACCAACCAACCAGCAGGAACTTCCACTGGCTGCAACCCTCCGTGACTGGGGCGTTGTGCAACACCTTCAGCAAACACTTCCTCATGTGGGAACAAGAATAAAGCCCGGGCAGTCGCTCCCTCTCATTCTCAGCCCAGCCTGGGAACACGACATTCCCGGGGCACGGACACCTCGACATTCCCGGGGCACGGACACCCCACCGGAGCAGCCCAGCTGGGAGCATGAAAACACTCCTCCTTCCTGCCCTTTTCCTGCTTTTTCTCCACCAAGGTACGGCGTTTTTTTGTTTTAATCCTTTCCCTGGGCAGAACTCCGGATGGATTTTTAATTATTAACAGGGAGATAATACGGAAGAACGGGAATTAAAGCCGCTGGAAAACGGCGGGGCTGGAGTTGGGGACGTTTGGGGTTTCCCTCTTTGTGTTCAAATTGATTATGTCGAGTTCTTTAGTTGGAGATTCATTTACCTGCTTGCAAACTGGCCAGAAATTGCCTAAAAGCCCAGAACTGGTCAGTTCTGTGAGCCACTTGCTAACTTGGTTGGTTCTGTGAGCCCTGCAAGTGAGAGGACAATTTATCCACTTGCATCTCCAATTTTGGCCCTAAAAGATTTCTATTTGAACCCAAATAACAACATGACCTGACTTAAAACCTTTAACCCCCTTATTATTGTGTGGCAGGGCTGGAGTTGGGGATGTTTGGGGTTTCCCTCTTTGTGTTCAAACAGATTATATCAAATTCTTTAGTTAGACATTTATTTATCTGTTTGCAAACTGGCCAGAAATTGCCTAAAAGCCCAGGACTGGTCAGTTCTGTGAGCCACTTGCTAACTTGGTTGGTTCTGTGAGCCCTGCAAGTGAGAGGACAATTTATCCACTTGCATCTCCAATTTTGGCCCTGAAAGATTTCTATTTGAACCCAAATAACCTGAATTAAAACCTTTAACCCCCTTATTATTGTGTGGCACTTCAGGTTCTGAGTATTCCTGTGCCTTCACCTGAGCAGACCCCACTTTTTTTCCTTTCAATTGTTCCTTTCAATTCATGTCAACAGGGAACAGATTTTTTTTGCCAGGGCTTGGCAGGCACAGGCACGGACAGGTTTTAAATCCATAATTAACCAGGTAATTTATACTCAGGCAGGTATCTAAATTTGGATTATTTGCACAGAATATCTGGAAATGTGCACGGTGTTTAAGGTGTTATATCTTTTTTTTTCCTCGTTGCCAGTGCATTCCTCACTAATGATTTTTAGTTTAGGCACTTGGAAAAGTACATAATTATTTCTCCATTATTATACAGCACCAGGCCCAAGGAATTTCTTTCCTCCTGACTCCAGACAGTGCCTGAAGGCAGGCAAAGACAATACAGTGATTAAAAAACTCCCTCTAAGAAACCATTTGTTCCAGGCCAAAATTAACCAGTTTTCCTCGAAGAGCTGTTTGCATCAGACTGCAGGAAAGGGATAAGTTTAGTCCTGAGTCTTCATTTAAATCCCACTTAAACTTGAACTGGCTGGGCTGGAGTTTGACAAAGGGTGTGAACAGGGAGATAAAAGTGGAGAATTCTGTAGCAAGAGGCTTAAAATATCACTGATCCTAATTTATGGTTGTGGAAAGACTTAAGTCTGAAACCCACAGTTTTTAAAAAGAAATAAATGTAATTATCTGCTTAAAACAAAATACAAAAGATCCCTGGGAACTGCAGGAGTAAAGTTACACTTGGTATTTGCTCTGAGCACGTGCCCAGGGCTCTGTGTAAGAGCTCAGCTCGTGTAAGGTCACTTCTCCACCAGTTTTATCAAGACACAACCCAGTTTATTCTGCAATTACTTTTGGAAAGGGTTTAATCCAACAAAGCAGGTGCAAAGATGGAATCTGTTTGTCTGACTGGGACAATTTGCCTGGGGATGTGCTCTGTTGTTGCAGACAAATTACAGGCACTGGGTGCCCCACTCCTGGGAAAACCTGGGCCTGGGGCAGGGAATTAAATGGGAGGTGTATCCTCCCTTTGGGTTTTGTGGGGTTAGCTTTGTTTGGGGTTGGCTTTGTATTCAAATACAGGTTCTTGTGCTCTGAGCCCTCAAGAATTCATGTGAAAGGTCCTTTGTAGGAGATTTAAGAGTTCAGGGGCATCTAAAACCTGTTGTTGCCTTGCTGGAAACCAACACAACCAACCCTGTTTCCCCAAAAACCTGGACAGCAGCTGCTCTCATGAACTTCTGGGATGCCATGATTAAATTCTCTGTGCTGCCCAGCCCTGCAAGTGGTGGCCCAAATTAACTTTGGTCGAGATTTATTCGGGTTCAGAGCAGAAAACAAAAAGAAACCCTTTTCCTCAAAGCTCTGGATTCCCTCCCAGAGTTCTTACAACCACTGCTGACACCCAACATGCCTTAAAGACCATGAGAAAGGGTTATGGGAGTTAAAGAATTACCTGGATTCCTTCCCACCTTCAAAATTTTCTTACTTTAGTGCTATCTCCCATTATTTTACCTGGTTTTGTTCAAACACCTCCTTTAATCCTTCTGCTGTCACGACTTTGTACCTCCCTCCAATTAAAGAGGTGAAAGTGTCTCTATTATCAAGTTCTGTCACAATTATTTATGGGGCAAAGCTTTCCAAGACAGAAATCCAGCCTCATTCCAAACCTCTGCATTGTTCTAAGTTTATTTGCTGATCTCCAGGCAGTCTGGACTTGCCCATCACGTGATAAAGTTTTGGAGATCCCCCTTTTCCCAGAGCTTTATAAATTAATCCCTGTCACCTGCAAAGTGCAGAGGCAGAGGCTGGTCTGGCAGGCTGGGACTTGAACTGCTCAGAGAAGCCCACAGGGAAATATTTGGACACCTGGAAGCAGCCAGGTGGGGCAATTCATCCCAAATCCAGGTGGGAAAATTCATCCCAAAATCCAGGTTGGAACAACCCTCTGGTGTCGGGTCACGACGGACCCCTGAGCACGAGGCACGAGGGGTGCAAGAGCCCCAAAAAATCAGCCTTGAGAGGCAGGAAATGAGGTGTTTGAGAAGTTAATGCTGTGTTTTCCTACATACCCATCTGTTTGTCCCCAGGGAGCACGAGCAGGGAGTTACCTGGAGTGGAGAGCTATGAAATAGTTTATCCACGGAAGCTGCGCTCGGTGCAGAGAAGGAGCGCGGGAAGGAACACCCAGGTACCAAAAGGGAGATGTTTGATGTTCCTGGGAGATGGGGAAGGGATTCTGGAGTCGGGATACCCACAGTTTTTAAGGGCAAGGGGCTTTGGAGCCAGAGAGTTGATCTTCCAAAAGGAAATGAAAGAGAAAACCTGGAAAAGTGATGCCAGGAGCTGTGAGGTGGGGCATGTGCAGTGACCAGCAGTGGGTCTTTTAGGACCTGAATCTCTGCAAAGGTGTTGGCTTTGACACCACTCAGATTTTTAATAACCTCCAGACAGTTTATTTTGAAGCTTAAAAGCACTTAAAAGTCTTCAGCACTTCCTGAGGGTGTTATGGAAGTGTTTAAACCTCAGCACCCACCCCAGCAGTGACCAGCAGTGGGTGTTTTAGGACCTGAATCTCTGCAAAGATGTTGGCTTTGATTCAAATCTTTAATAACCTCCAGACAATTTATTTTGAAGCTTAAGAGCACTTGAAAGTCTTCAGCACTTCCAGAGGGTGTTATGGAAGTGTTTAAACCTCAGCACCCACCCCAGCAGTGACCAGCAGTGGGTGTTTTAGGACCTGAATCTCTGCAAAGGTGTTGGCTTTGATTCAAATCTTTAATAACCTCCAGACAATTTATTTTGAAGCTTAAGAGCACTTAAAAGTCTTCAGCACTTCCAGAGGGTGTTATGGAAGTGTTTAAACCTCAGCATCCACCCCAGCACTTCCCCAAACATGCTTAGGACGGTAGAAATGAATTTGCAAAGTTAAATTTCTTCCTCTGAGTTAAAAAAAAATACGAGACAGGAGTGACCTCCTGCTTATTGTGTTGCTGCCAGAGCGCTTGGTTTTGGTGGGAAGAGGAGGAAAAGAGCACAGCTGGCAGGTCAATGAGTTGTAGCAGTGCACAGTTTAACACTTCAATCTGTTTACAGACCAAATATGTTGACAAGGTGGAGTATGGAATCAAAGCCAACGGCCAGGAAGTCGTCCTGCAGCTACAAAAAAATAAGTAGGTTGGGTTCAACTCTTTCCTCGGGTGTTTTTTCTGCCTCTGAATGGCTTTGGGGTGTTCAGGATACAAAAAAACCCAGGATTTAGGCCCCTGTAAAACGGGGGTGTTGGGGTAAAACCAACTTTTCCAGAAGAAAAGGGGAGAGAAGAATCATGGCACTGTTTTGGGAACATGAAATAAGGACTTGGCCACGAGGCATCGCCGTGGTGGAGTGACTTGCCTGCACCTCTGTTCTCCCAGTTATTTCCTAAATGGCCAAATCCCTGAAAGTTTAATGTTTTTATGGCATTCCACGAGTTTTCTGGGACCATGAGTAGTCAGGGGGTTATAAACTCGTAGCATGTAGTGACAGGACAAGGGGGAGTGGTTTTAAACTGGGACAGAGCAGGTTTAAATTTGATATTGGGAAGGAATTCCTGCCTGGGAGGGTGGGGAGGGGCTGGGATGGAATTCCCAGAGAAGCTGTGGCTGCCCCTGGATCCCTGGAAGTGCCCAAGGCCAGGTTGGAGCAACCTGGGCTGGTGGGAGGTGTCCCTGCCCATGGCAGGGGTGGAATTAATTGGTCATTAAGGTCCCTTCCAACCCAAACCACTCTGGAATTCTGGGATAGATTTGTTGATGTTGGAGGTATTTTCCATTCTGTGCTTCCATATTTAAATATCTCTATATTAGAGAGATAGAGAGAGATAGTTACCTGAACACTACTGCTGTTGGACTTGGAATAATCTAATATATCCTGGCATTGATAAAGTGCTTCCTGGAAGTGGAAAATTGGGAAAATTCTCCTCCTTGGCTGCAGGAACAGGCATGGAAAGAGGCCATGCAGAGGGTATAGAAGGGCAGGGGGCTTTGTCACACAAGGAGAAGCCAAAAATTGCACAGAACAGCACAAAATAAAGCTCAGCTGGGATTTTCTGGCTCCACCAGAATACTGAACACGCAATCAGACAAGTCTGCATTAATAAGTACTTTTCAAGAGGCTGTGTAAATACAACAGCACCATAATCAATTCACCTTAAATACAGACTATAATTAACTGCTTGCCCCTGTTTTAATCTAATCTAAATATTTGGAGTGGGGAGAGGGAAAATACACTGTAATAAATCCCTTTGTTTGAAGAGAAGTGGGACTGTGGCAGTTTGGGGCAGTTGCCAAAACAGAAGTGAGGCAGATTTGCTTTGCTGCTGATTTTAGTCAGATGCATTAAAAAAAAAAAAAGGATCAATATGTAATTACGCATTTGCATTCGGATCTGCTGGGAGCTTAGTTCAGAGCAATGAAATGAGCAGATTTTAATTGCCTTCTTCTCCTTGAGAAGTGTCCCTTTGTTTGAGGAAGGACCAGGACCGGGCAGAATTCCCCACCCCGCAGCTCTGCTCGCCGGAGTTTTTTCGAGACTAATAATAACCTGAGTGATTGTTTGAATTCCCCACGTGCTTGGTGTCTTGTGTAATCACCTCACTCCTACGTGGCTACAATTTCTTTGGAATAAGAACTGCCCTTGGCTCTTTGCAGGGATCTTTTAGGTCGAGATTACACCGAAACTGTTTATTCGGATGACGGTCGACAAATAACAAGAACTCCTCAGATCAAGGTAAGAAAGGAAGGCTTTTTTCCCATATATTTGCAGTCCTGAGGTCCATATGAGATTCCTGAGGCTGTGAAATAATAGGAAATATAAGACAGAAAGGAAAGATTTTAAATCAAGCTCCTAAGCCTGTAATTTAGGATGTGACTGAAGGGACAGGGAAGATGCACAGATTTATCCTGTTCTTGGATTCAGGGAAGAGGGAGGAGATCATTAATACCCTGGTGGTGTTTTTCTGGGTGGTTTGGGCCATTCACTGAAGAATTGGACTCGATGATCCTGGTGGGTCCCTTCCATCTGGGAATATTCTGGGAAGAAGGGACTCGTGGCTTGGGCAGAGCTGAGCCCTGTTTGTCCCTGTCGGGAATCAGCCCCACAGGAAGACACCACCTCTCCCTGAGTGCTGCTGAACAGCCTGTGAGTCAAACCTCTCCCTCCTGGCAGGACAGGGAGTGGAGCCCAGGCCATCCCACTGCTTCCAACCTGCCTGTTTGCCCTCCTGACCCCGCTCCTGTTCACACCCCGCTCCCGGCGAGATCAGAGGTTGGGATAAACCCCCTTTCCTCCGGGCTCACCTTCCCACCCACGCTCAGCAGATGCACTCAGGTCACTCCAGGTGCTTTCTCTGATCTGTGACAAATCAGTTCTTCCACCCAGACACAAAGGGAGTCACCACAGAAAGCAGTTTTTAATTAACTCTTCACTTCTCAGGAATTAACTCTGCCCTCCTCGGGCTGATCTTCTGCCTGAAGCTCCTTTTCCCAGCTCATTCCATGTGTTTTAACACCCAGGATTTGGAATCCAAAGCCTCGTTTTCTTTGTCAGCAGGAGCAGGAGGATCTCGAGTGAAATAAATGAAAGAATTCTGGGTTGGGTTTTTTTTTTTGGGGGGAAAAAAAAAAAGCCATTTCTCATTGCTCCAATGATTTTTCCTAAATAGATCCTGGGAAAAGACAAACTCAATCAGGCCTATCTGTGCTGAACAGGGAATTCCTATTTTTCTCTTAAATCCTCCAGTAATGGGGATAAATCCTCCCCTTTCCCCCAGTGATTTTCTCTTTATCCCTGTAAGAAAGTTGGCACCTTGTGGTGGAAGGAAGGCAAATAAACGGTAAAAGTGAACCCAAAGATCCAGGAGCAAACAAAAGGCACGAGGCAGGAAGGTTTGGGGCCGTGTTCTTAAAAAAATCCATGCAGGAGAATGTTATAGGTAATATTTTCCACAGTCCCTCGGTGACTTTGAAGTCTCTTTGAACACAGAAATGTAAACCTGAGATCCTTAAGCCAATTAAGTCACAAAACTCTTTCCCCTAACCATATATTTAACATTTTAATCTCATTGAAGTGAATTGCTGGGTTATTAAACAGTGTTGCCTTGAAGTTTGGCTGCAATAAAATCATTTGGTGTGGACTTCAATTCAGCAGTTTGTGTTTAATTTGGAGCAGTGTGTGCCCATATCCTTATTTTTATGTGCTCTTGTGTACTGACCAGCTCCCACCACGATTGGTTGGTCACAATTTGGGTCCCTCCGTGTTGAAGGCTAAAAATAATGGTTAGGGAAGAAGTTTTTAATTCATTTTGAGACCCTCCTAATGGGAGATTTCAGCCAGGGCAGTTTATCGTAGTTTGTCTTTTGAAATCACTGGATCCAGACCAGTTGGGTCAATGGGACAAGGCCCAGTGTGACACTGGATTTTCCTTTTCCCAGCAGGATCACTGTTTTTATGAAGGCCACGTTCAGGATGATGCTGAGTCCACAGTGAGCATCAGCACCTGCCAAGGGCTCAGGTAAGGGCAGCTTTGCTTCCCAAAGGCACAACAGGAACCTTCTGGGATAAATTTTCCATATAAAAAGAATCAGGATGGAAATAAGTCATGTGATCTTTTACTCCTGCTGACAAGGAAACCACTGTACTAAAGAAGCAGGGAAAGAAGGGGGGGGGAAAGTTCCTCAGTTCCTTGCTTTTCTTCTCACCTTTAAATTCCCCACTGAAGCAAAATTCACTTCTCAACCCCCTCTGTTAGCACAAACCCCAACAACTGAAATCAAATTAATTCCTACACCAGCTTCTTTTCACTGCCAGTCTCCTCCTCAGAGACTTCACTGACCACCCAAATCCTCCAGCTGAGTCGGCAGCTTTAATTCCTGATTTAAATCTGCATTGGCTGAAGGCTGCCAGAATATTCCAGGCCTGGGATAAACGCTCTGGAGATGCTGTTGCTGTCTTGATTCAAAAAAAAAAAAATCACAGTCCAGCTCCTTTTTTCAGTGGCTATTTCGAGACCCGTGGCCAGAGGTACCTCATTGAGCCCCTGGGGGGCTGGGAGGGAGCAGAACACGCCGTCTATAAATACGAGGCACTGCAACAAGAGCCCATCAAAACCTGTGGCCTCGCCAACAACACCTGGGAACAGGATTCCGACGACCCCACCAACGACATCTTCAAATCCAGCAACAGCCCCGAGGTGAGGACAGGGTTAAACACAGGGTGAAGGGGTTAAAAACTCCAATTTGAGGAGCCCAAACCCCACTTTGGCTGCTCGTTGCAGCAGGTTTTAAAAGAATCAGCACAAAAATCTTCCAGATCAGAGATTTCAGAGTCACCACCCGAGTTAAACCCTCCTGCCTTTACCAAGGTGCACCTTTACACACCTAAACACTTATTTAATATCCAGCAGACCCTTCACAATCTTAATAATTTTAATATCTAACCTGCTTCTGGTCTTTTAAAAACGTGACAGTCCCACTCTAAACGACTTGGCCAAAGAAACACCTCCAAGAATTAATAGCTGGGTTTGAAGTTGCAAAGACTGAGGCTAAAGCAGGTCATTTAAATCTATTATTTCTTTAGATGAAAGAGTACCTGAAAGCCAAAAAATACCTGGAGCTCTACATAGTTGCAGACAACACTCTGGTGAGTATTGGAATTGTTCTTTTCCCAGGATAGGTATTGCTTGTACCCCTGGGCTCCTGCTTTTCCAGCTACTGAGCTTGGGTGGGAAAAGGGGTTCCTAAAATGGGTTTATTTTCAAAATGAGAATGAAGATGAAGAGAATTCAGAAAACCCCTTAAAGTGCCTAAAAATCTTGAGCTGGAAGGGACCCACACAAGGATCGTGGAGTCCAAGCTCTTCTCTACACCCTGCACTTTAGAACACATCTTGAAACACAATATTTATTAAAATACTACATAAAAAGATAATTTCTCATCAAGTAGCCCGGGCGTGGGGTGGTTTGCAGCACAACTGATTTTCTGATCAATCCCTTTCCCCCCCTCTCCTTTTCCTGACGTTCTGTATTTACATTTTAGTACCAGAACCACGACAAAGATGTCAAAGCCATCAGACAGAGGGTGTTTGGAATCGTCAACTACGTCAACACGGTAGGAGCAAACCACTGACATCGAAATCCAAATTTTTTCTGTTGCAAACAACACAAATGTTCATTATTTTATATAGTAATGAGTGAAAACTCAAGTGCATCGTAATTTAAGGAGGAAATTTAACACTTAACAGGAAATCATCCTGTTCTTTGCCTTTGGATATGAGATTTCTATAAAGAAGGATTTATACTGAACTTTGTTGTCACTTGTTCAAATGAATGACTGAAAAAAAAGAATCATGGAATCATAAAATTAACTGGGTTGGAAGGGACCTCTGAGATCATCCAGTCCAACCCTTGATCCAACCCTGCCGTGGTTACTAGACCGTGGCACTAAGAATAAACCGATCCTTGATTTCTTTGGCAAGCCAGACTTCTTCCAAACTCGCTGGAATTTCCAAGGAGTTCGGAGCCATTTTTAAAGTTGATTTGGATGTGATTTCCTGCTTGGTTGGGGGGGGGGTTCTGTGGGTGGAAAAGAGTCATTTTTAAAGTTGATTTGAATGTGATTTCCTGGTTGGATGGTGGGGGTTTTGTGGGTGGAAAAGGTTCAGGGGGACGACGCTGCGAGCGAGGGAAGGGGTGAGGGTTTGGTTCTGAGCGAGGGAAGGGGAGAGGGTTTGGTTCTGGGTGAGGGAAGGGGAGAGGGTTTGGTTCTGGGTGAGGGAAGGGGTGAGGGTTTGGTTGTGAGTGAGGGAAGGGGTGAGGGTTTGGTTCTGGGTGAGGGTTTGGTTCTGAGTGAGGGAAGGGGTGAGGGTTTGGTTCTGAGTGAGTGAAGGGGTGAGGGTTTGGTTCTGGGAGAGGGTTTGGTTCTGGGTGAGGGTTTGGTTCTGGGTGAGGGAAGGAGTGAGGGTTTGGTTCTGAGTGAGGGAAGGGGAGAGGGTTTGGTTCTGGGAGAGGGTTTGGTTCTGAGTGAGGGTTTGGTTCTGGGTGAGGGAAGGGGAGAGGGTTTGGTTCTGGGTGAGGGAAGGGGAGAGGGTTTGGTTCTGGGTGAGGGAAGGGGAGAGGGTTTGGTTCTGGGTGAGGGTTTTGTTCTGAGCAAGGGAAGGGGTGAGGGTTTGGTTCTGAGTGAGGGAAGGGGAGAGGGTTTGGTTCTGAGTGAGGGTTTGGTTCTGAGTGAGGGAAGGGGAGAGGGTTTGGTTTGGGGTCTGAGCTGTTTTGAGCTGAGTGTCTGTGCAGGTTTACAAGGCCAGAGTTCTTTTAAGCTGAGTGTCCGTGCAGGTTTACAAGGCCAAAGTTTTTTTGAGCTGAGTGTCCGTGCAGGTTTACAAGGCCAGAGTTGTTTTGAGCTGAGTGTCCGTGCAGGTTTACAAGGCCAGAGTTGTTTTGAGCTGAGTGTCCGTGCAGGTTTACAAGGCC